GCGACGCGGCGCCCTGGCCCCGGGCCCGGAGGGGCAGCTCCTGTCTCATCCCTAGGACTCCACAGCTTGTGCTTCGGGGAGGGTGTGAACGGCGCGTCCCGGACGCGGTCCCACGTGTTCCGGTGTTCCCTCTCTGTGCCTGTTTAAATGTATCGATGTGGATAGTGTTAAAGCTTAATTATTTAATTCATTGTATTGTTTCTCAGAGTTGGGAAAGTACCGCATACATTTACAACTTAATGACTTTTGTATTTTATTTTTCAAAATAAAAGCTTTCAATGTGAAGCATTCTAATAGTTACGTGTTTTCCTGAACGTGGCTTCCGAGGAGCGGCCTTGCTGCGGGGTGCTCTTGCACGCGCTTCCTGGCCGGAGTCGAGGAGCTCCCAGCCCCGGGGTCAGCTCGCTGGGGGAAGCTTTCTGTCATTTCAGAGAGACCTGTCTCCGCCCATTTTCAAAACCCTGACCTGGCCCACTGTAGGACAAAAGGTCACTGCCTCCCGCGGCCAGAGGTCAGACACTCGGAATCCCATTCCCCAAGCGCTCAATGCGGGCTTTTACTGGTAAGGCTGGCCCTAAGGCCCGACCTGCTCCGTCCCGCCCGAGGCAGAAGTGCAGTATTTTCCGCGCTGTCACCCCAGCCCGCAATCTCAGGGTCATTCCGGCTTCGAGCTTTTCCTCCCTCTTCCCCACCCGCAGGATCCTGGATCCCAGCTTCACAGTGATTGCTGAATCCACCACCGCCTGTCACCGAGACTGGCACCACAGAGAGTCTCGCAACGGTATCCTGGGAGCCTTCGCCCCGCGCCTCCCACAGCCTCCCGCCGCAGCTCACAGCCCTGTGCTCGTTCTGGCCTCACGCCCGTCTCACTGCAGACCCTGTGCTCTTGGCCTCTTTGCACTTCCTGGAATACAGCTGGCTCTTCCTGCCGCCTGTGCCTGGGAGTCCTCTCCCTGGGGTGTCTGCCCTTTGCTCTTTGTCCGACAGCCACCTTCTCAGTTCTCTCACTGCTGTGAGTTCTTTCTCCGAGAGATTCTCCCTGGCCTCTTCAACTACAAAGTAGATGCCCCTCCTGTCTCCCTGGATTCTCCTCCGACCTCCTGTACTGGGGATTGAACCCAGGGGCGTCACACGGAGCTACATCCCCCACCCTCCTTTTTTTTTTAAAGTGTTGAGACAAGTCTCATCAAGTTGTTGAGTTACCAAAAGCTGGGCTCACCACTGCAGTCCTCCTGCCTCAGCCTCCCGGGCAGCGGTTCTAGGTGTGTATCACCCTATGGGCCCAGCCTCTGCCTCCCTTCTTATCCCTGTGTAATTTGTAATCTCTTTGTTGACTTCTTGTGGTCTCTCTTGTAGTAGACAGTTCCCGGGAAGACAGAGACGGTCTTTTCTCACTCACTTTGGTACCCTGGCACCTAGCAAAGTGCCTGGCACTTTCCAGGAATGCAGAAAACCCTTGGTGAATGATTTGTGCTCCCAGGAGCCCCACGACATACATCCCATTTTACAGGTAAGGAAACAGAGGCCCAGGAGAGTTAACACTCCAGCTGTTGCCATGGTGACCTGGTACCCAAGCCTAAGCCTGACCCTAATACACCTGCCTCCCCCCAGCTCTGGCCCCTTCAATTTAAAATTAATCCTGCCATCAGATGGGCCTTGCATTCAGCACCAGTTTCAATCACCTTTGCTACAAGCCTTTGATTCTCTACCGCCTCGCCTGAACCCTTCAGCCTGCACCGGGTGGCCCCACTTCCTCCTCACGACGCAGGACTCTCGCTCCTGCCTTTGCTCGCCTTTGCTCCTCTTCGCTCTCTGCTGCGTTCCCACACCCGTACGCCCGGCCCTCCTCCCGACCTGGGACTCCCAGCCTCGCTGAGGGTTCCGCTATCTTAAGTGCTGTTTCCCCATGAAGCCTTCGTCATCTGCGCCGCCCTCCAAATAGCAGTAAACTCTGCCTGAACATACTGTTAGATAGGTGGTAAATAGCTAGACGGACAGATGGGTGCTGCTCCTTTCCTGTGTGGGTCTTACATGGAGAGGAGGACGTACGCCCCCTAGAGCCTGGCAGAACACGAGGGACGAGCATCTTCAAGCACAACCCCTCCATGGGCCGACACCTGCACCTAAGGAGTGCGTGAGTTGTGTCCTAGTGACATTTCCCGTCCCTGAGATAAAATACCAGATGCCTAAAGTGCAAGGAGGAAAGTTTATTTGGCTCACAGGGGTTTTTTTTGTCTTTTTTTTTTTTTGAGGCAGGGTCTCGCTATGCAGTTCAGGCTGGACTTGAGCTCACGTTGTAGCCCAGGCTGGTCTCAAACTCACAACGATCCTCCTGCCTCAGCTTCCCGAGTGCTGGAATTACCGGCGTGTGCCACCATGCCCGGCTTAGCTCACAGTTTGTGGAGGTTTCAGTTCATAATTGGCTGGCTCTGAGGCAGGATGGCACAGCAGCAGGGCAATAAACAGCAAGCCACAAGCAACAAGAAGTGACCCTCCTTCTGTCCTTGTATCTTATCCAGGCTACCCACCCTTAAGACAGGAGCACTCACACAAAGGGTGGGGCACCTTAACCCTACCCTGAACTACTCCAGTCCTGTCAGCGGACTGATTTAGTAGCCACACACCCTTGATCCCAGCATCACACATTGCAGATCCCACCACTTCCAAAACAGCTCCACTAGCCGGGCGTGGTGGCTCATGCCTGTAATCCCAGCACTTGGGAGGCTGAGGCAGGAGGATCTTTGTGAGTTCAAAACCAGCCTAGACTACAAAGTGAGCTCAAGGCCAGCCTGAACTGCATAGCAAGATGCTGTTTCAAAAAGACAAAAAAAAAAAAAAAACCAACCCAGCTCCACCTATGACTGCACGAGGCTTTAGGGGGACATGTAGATACAAACCATAACAAGTTGTCTCCCATCCTGCCCCCCTGGGGAGTCCACTGCTGGGAATGGCATGCTCAGTACAGTCTGGAGAACCGCTGCGCGCAACGGCAGACCCAGAGGAGAAACCCTCTGTTCCCAGCTGGCTGGAGAAGTGAATATGGTACCATCTCTGCCCCAGTTGATTCTCCACAAAGCCTCATTTTTTTCTGGTCTGAGCACATTTCTTTTGAGCTCTGAAGAATAGCAACTGTTCCAAATGGCTCGCCCTCAGCATTTTGTAAAGTTGCCTTTCATTTGTGAAATGTGAGGGTTTAATGCAATCAAATGGAAGTCCTGTTGAACCGTTAACGGTGGCTAGTATAAAATGTGAGAGGACCACCAGCCAGGCGTAACCCACGCATTCCAGGAGACCGAGGCAGGAGGACTGCAAGTTCGAACCCTGTGTGAGCAACTTAGCAATTTACCCGGTCTCAAAATATTAAAAAAGGGCTGAGTATGTAGGAGAGAGAGGGAAGCAGGTAAGGGACCGGGGCAGAAACAGGGCCTATGCTTCTCAGGGAGCTTCCTGGCTGCCCCATAGCCTGAGCCCCAGCCCCAGAAGACTCTTGGAAGCCAGGGAAGGCTGCTCTCCTGCTGACCTCAGGGTTACAGAAGGAGCTCAGTGGAAGCGTCAGCCAGGAAGAAGTATAGCATTTAAGACCAAAAATAATCTTAATAATTATTTAGTTCAGTTAATACTCCAATAACAATCCCCCAGAGCTGCTCACGGTCCAGGCCCAATGCTAACCTCTACCTATTCAAACTCATGCAGTTGTCCGAGCCACCCTCTTAGGCAGGTGCTATTTCTGCCTGCGTATGGCAGGGTGATAAAGCGTTGGCTCAGGGAAGTAGAGTGCCCTGCCCAGCTTGCCTAGTGAGTGGGGTGCTCAGGAGACCAACACAGGCAGCCTGGCTCCGGAATCTAAGCCTCAACCATTATTCAACCCCTCAATGATCATCTTTATACAAGAATGGAAACGTGTGATTACTTCTGAGTGACAACTTTTTAAATACCCCTCTTGCACTTAGTAATTTTTCACTGTGAGCACCCTGAAATGTAGGCAGATAGATCACTGCCTTGGGACTTTTATCATTATGGTGAAAAAAGAAAGAAAATACATACACTATTCCTATTTCATGTACTATGTAACAAAATTTAAAGTATTACCTACCAAAGCTGGGTGTAGTGGTGCACACCTGTAATCCCATTACTCAGGAGGCTGAGGCAGGAGGATCATTGCAAGTTTGAGACCAGTCTGGGCTACAAAGTGAGCTCAAGGCCAGCCTGAACTGCCTAGTGAGACCCTATCTCAAAAAGAAAAAAAATTACCTACCAAAACCTGCTTGGTAGCTTGTAGTTAAGAAATGGCCCAGGCAAAATTGTTCAATGTTGCCTCAAAATCTGTTTTTTCAGGGAGCTACCAATGTTTAGATTAACTGAGGTTTTCTCTGGCAAAGTCAGTGTTTTCAGGACTGAGTTGGTTTTCTTGCTATTTTGTCACTAGTCAGTGCAGTCATCTGCAGAGACACTGTGTCTTTGTATAAAAAGACTCCCTCAGCTATTCTGAATTGGGCAAAAAAGGTCATTTTTATTCCCTTAGGGTTTAAGTTCTAACAAAGCAAATTTATTATTTTGAGTGTTGGGGATGTGTATGTTGTGTTTAAGACCTGCTAGAAAAACAAGCGACTTTTATGCTCCCTTTGGAGTTGAATATTATTGAAGACTCCAAATTGAGTAATTTTCATAATGAAACCACTTTTTTGTTGTCATGTAGAAATGGCCTCCTGGCCTTGCTAGAAGGAAAACCTCGAATGCCCTCTGTTGGCCAAATGCAGAATTGCAGGACCAATGAAAGTTTTAAAATTGAAAAGTAAGGAAATTTATCATGGATGTGTTGAAAGCTTTCTCTACAAAAAGTTCACTGCAATGTAGTTTATGAAAACATAAGAACAGAGGGATTGGTTAAGTGATGGTACATTCACTACTCAGCTAAAAATGAAGATGGTGTAGAAAAATACTTAACACAGGGAAATGTTCATTTTATAATAGGTGAAAATTTGAAGGCACAAAGTTGGCATGCACCCATTTACTAGTAAAGGATAAATAGAAGAATAAGTAGAATCACTAGTTCAACAGACAACAGAAGGTACATATATACATATATAAAAATAAAAGGTACATATATAAAAGCTGTGGGATCTCCCAGTGGTATGCAGGGATTTTTTATTGTCTTCTTTCTGATTTCTGTTTTCTAATTGTGCTCTGATTGACATGAATTACTTTTGTAAAAAAATGAAGGTTTTAGAAGAAAAACCGTCATGAGCTTGAACCCCTAAATTTTCAAATTAAAAAGTGTGGTTTTGCCAGGTGTGGTGGCACACACCTGTAATCCCAGCACTCAGGAGGCTGAGGCAGGAGGATTGTTGCAAGTTCGAGACCAGCCTGGGCTACAAAGTGAGCTCAAGTCCAGCCTGAACTGCATAGTGAGACCCTGTTTAAAAAAAAAAAAAAGAAGAAGAAGAAGAAAAAAAGAAAGAAAAGAAAAAAAAAGTGTGGTTTTGAGCAATCCTGTCACTCACCCTAGGTGAGATGGTGGGTAGACTTAACTCACATTTATTTTCTAATGACTCTCATTATCTAGCCAACCGTTTTGATGAAGAAATCAGTCATACGAACAATCTCAAGACTTAGTTATTCATGTTCTTCACAAATGAACACTTGCAACTCGAATGGGGAATGTAGCAGAGTAGCAGCTATTCGGATGTTCAGATGGAGTCGATTTGAAAAGATCACAATGAGGCTAGGATTTATTGCTTTTTCTGTTCAAGGCTTTGCAAAGTATGGCCAAATCCGGCCGCACCTATTTATTTCTTTCTTGCCTGTGGTTGGTTTCCTACAGAGTTAAATAGTTGACACTGAAACCGTATGGCCTTCCAGTCCTGAAAAAGATTTACTATCTGGCAGAGCTCTGCTCTTAAATGGATTACTTTAATCCTACATTGCCTTGGGATCAGGGTTTCACCTTGTTTTAAGGTCTCCAGCAGACCAGGAGAACTCTGTCCTGGCAGTGCCAAACTGATGCCAGGACTCCGGAGCTGGAGGCACCAACTGGCAAGTTGGGTTTTTTCCCTGAGCACTTTATTTGCCTTTGAAAGAAGCAGGCTCTTCCCAGCCTCAAATCTTAGGTTTTTTTCTTTTTTCTTTTTTTTTCTTTTTTCCAGTACCAGGAATCGAACTCACAGCCTTGCGCTTGCCAGGCAGGTGCTGTGCCACTGAGCTAAATCCTCAGCCCCCTATTTTTTTTTTCTTTCTTTTTTTTTAATTAGTCCCTGTTTGCACTACATAGTGATTACATTTATTCTGCGGAGTTGGTGCACGTACATAATGTGTCTTAATTCTTTTCTCACCCCCAACCCTCCCATCCCTCCCTGCTCCTTCCAACTCTTGGTCCCCTTCTCATTTGGAAATAGAGCAAAAGCTCTATTTCCATTTTTTCCGTTTGATTCTTTTTTTAAAAAAATCTATTTTCCCTCTCCTCCTTCCCCCACCTCCCATCTCTTCCCGTTTGAAAAAGATCTCGCTACAGTTTCTAAGTGGTTGGAAAGAAAAGCCTGGTAGCGAGGGAGGACAGAAGACACAAAAACTAGGGAGAAAGAGGATGTCTTTCTTTTCTTGTTATTTTTCTTGTTACTTGATGTCTTTTTTGTGTGTGTTACTTTTCTTGTTGTGGAGACAAAATACCCGACACCAGAAGTTAGAAGAGGAAAGGTTCATTTAGCTCGCAGTTTGTAGAGGTTTCCATTCAGTCACCTGGCTCCGAGGTAGGTGGCATGGCAGAGGAGAAACAGTCCCTGGCAGGGCAGGCAAGAGGCGGTAGTGAGCCACAAGCAGCAGAGCAGCAAGCAACAAGCAGCAACCCTCTTTCTGTCCCTTATATTCTACCCAGGCTACCTAGGTAGCATTCCCACCCAGGGGACAGGGTCTTACCAGGCTAGTCTTTGATCTCATTCTGTAGTCCAGGCTAGCTTTGATCTCATTCTGTAGTTCAAACTGACCTTCTGGTCATGATGATCCTCTTCCCTCAGCCTCCCAGGTACTGGGATTACAGGCGTGTGCCACCATATCCAGCCCAAGTATTTTTCTTCACCTCCTTTCCGAAAAGAGGTTTCCCTGGGGTGGGGGTGTAGCTTAGTGATAAAGCACATACGTAACCTGTGCCAAGCCCTGAGTTTGATCTCCAGCACAGGAGGGAGTCAGGAGGGTGGAGAGTGAAAGAGAAAGAAGCTGTAATTTAAAGAGCTTTTTAAAAAAAAAAAAAAATTTTTATCTTTTTGAGATGGGGTCTCGCTGTGCAGTTCAGGCTGGCCTTGAGCTCACTTTGTAGGCCAGGCTGGTCTCGAACTCACAAGGATCCTCCTGCCTCAGCCTCCTGAGTGCTGGGATTACAGGCGTACATCACCACGCCCAGCTTAAAGAGCTTTAAGTGGAGGGTGACATGCTCTGACACAAACTGTCCAGAGCAGCATGTGACCAATGCTCATAGCAGGACTGTCATAGCCTGACACTGGGAAGTAGTTATTCATCCACAGGGGCATGATAGTATCATTCCATTCACTTACAGTCCCCAAACAGCTAAAATCGAACCGCACTGCTTGGAGATGGTTGCTCAGGTGGTTACGCTTGGAAAACAAAGGAATGATGGACAGACCCATGAGGACACAGGCGATGTCTGAGGGGACAGAGGTTGTCTCTGTCAGGGAGGAGCCATGGTGGGTGTGGCAGCCGGGACATCCTATTTGTCACCCCGTGGAGGTTATGTGGGTGTCAGTCCTCTGTGCAGGGACCCTCCCAACTCTACACGGACAGTTTTGCATTTTTCTGTATCTGTCACAGCTCAATGGAAACCATGCATAGAAAACACGCATCACATTTAGGAAGGAGAGGGGTGAGACTGGCGAGGGCCGTGCAGACTGTGCGCCTAACACTGGGTTTCACGAGCTGAGTGATGAGCAGCGGGTGTTACTATTCTCTGTAATTCTTTGTAAGCCTGAAGTATTTAAATCAAATTTTAAAAGAGAAGACAATATGAAAAAAGGATGCTCTCACTTTTTTCCTTTCTTTCTTTTTTGAAACTGGAGATTGAAACTAGGGCCTTCGCAGTCAGCTACTTTTTATTCTTTATTTTGAGACAGGGTGTAGGGAAAAAGGAGCCCAGCATGGCTACACTATGGCTGGGGGCTGTGGCCAGGGGTTTCCGGAGGTGGAGAAGTCCTAAGTCAGCGGAACTCCAGCGCAGGCGCGCCGAGCGTGCCTCAGTGGAAATAACTTACCTCACCAAGGTGAACGCTGCCAACTGGCCGCGACTGTGTGCTTCTACTCTACATTTGGACTGCTCGAGGGCCAGTGGCTGGGAAGGCTAGCACTGTGCGTGTGACAGCTCGGTTTGGGGCTAAGGACTGCCGCGAGTGTGCGCACTAAATTAAAGGCTGAATCACGCGGAGCAGCTGGCCAGCTGAGGACAAAGACGGGTCAAGATGTTCCCACGACTCCCAGTCTCTTCTTCAGGCTGTCCATATGGCAAGAGAACCTCCCCAGGCTGAACTGGTCCCGGGATACAGGGTCTCACTCGCTTCTTAAATTGCTCAGGCTGGGCCCATACTCACAACCCTCCTGCCTCAGCCTGCCAGAGTGCTGGGATTACAGGCAAGCGTCCCCACGGCCAGCTTCTTTCTGCTTTAATTTCCTTTATTGGTAAAATATGTATTCAGGGGCTGGAGATTTAGCTCAGTGGCACAGCGCCTGTCTAGCAAGCGCAAAGTCGTAAGTTCAATTCCCGGTACCAGAAAAAAAACACACACACAAAAAGGTATTCAGTCCACCAAAATTAGGAGAGAAAATGAGAAGCTGGATCAATACTCTGAAGATCTGCCTGCATTCAAAAGTTCTTTCTAAAAAGAAAATCGAATTTTTTCTTTGGGGAGACATGGCACAAAACAGACTACAATGCAGCTGTCTGAGTTCAGGGTTTTTGAGAATCGAACTCAGGACCTTGCACTTGCCAGGCAGGTGCTTATGCCACTGAGCTATATCCCCAGCCCTGACTTTAGGGCTCGATGCCCATGGGAGTACTTGCGGGGCTGATTTACCAAGTAAATCCCAGGGCTCTGACTGCCCACGTGCCTAGAGAAGGGAATCATGGGCCTGCACCACCCGCCTCTGCTCCCAGCCCCGCCCTTGCCCGGAGCCCCCTGGAAGCTGACCCGAAAGTCCTTCTCCCAGGGTTGATGGCGGATAGTCGCTACCAGCAACCCGCCAGGGCCTTCCCACAAGCCTGCTTCCAACCCTTCCCTCGCCCTCCTTCCAGCTTGTTGACCTTGGACTTCTCCACCCTGTGTAAACAAAACCAAATGGAAGTTACATTCCTGACAGAAACCCTCTGCAGAAACGGGGCAGCAATGTATGTCAGTCAGGTAGAACTTATAGCACAGGGCGCCCCCCAACCTCCTCTTCCTCCGGGGCGCCCTCCCCAGGGTCTCCATTCACCCGCTGTCCGCGCTGCCATAGCTGTCTCCCTCGTAGCCCCTTGGTTCTTCGGGCTCCTACGGGCCGCGAGGAGATAAGCAAAGGAAGCTGGTCCAAGCAGTTCCATCATTAATGAACCAACCTGGGACTGCTCAGAGTTGCTGTCATGTAAGATGATAAAGTTCCCTTATCTAAGCCACTTCCAGCTGGAATTTTTGAAACTTCTGAATTGTCATCAGGATGGAACGAAGGAAATGCTCTATTTTTTGAGAAAGGCTACAGCATGAAGTGGTGACTAAGACAAGGCCCTAAGGGGACTTCTTGGGGCAATGCTACTGGAGATGTGGTTCTCCGACCTGCAGCACCACCGGGACCCTGGTTTGTTGGGAAAACAAAATACAGGGCTTTGCCTAGAGGAACCAAATCGGGAGCCCTGGGGGTAGGACTGGGAATGACTAGGCCTGTTTCCTTTTCTGTCAGCATCGGGAGAATCATGTGAGGAATGTAGAGGCACTGTACACAACTGGGTATGGCTTTTAGAAATAGTTCTAGAATGATTTCTCCTAAGGAATTACAGACGGCGGGTAGAAGAATGTAACAAAAAACAAAGCAACAAAAAAAATAAAGAATGTAACAGAGTAGCTAGATTTCAAAAAGGTGGAATTTTCCTGTGATCAAGATATACTATGTTATATACATGTTCCAAAAATAACATAATTATTATATGTTGCGAATATACACTAATAAAAAATAAAATTAGTATTAAAAAAAGAACATCATTGGATGGTTATCATGAAGCCATTTTCTCCTAACCCTTTGGTTATCTCAGGTGTTGTTTTTTTGTTTTTTTTTTTTTTGGTTTGGTTTGTTTTGGCTTGATTGTATTTTGGTTTTTATGGTGCTGGGGAATGAAGCCAGTCTTTTGTACTGAACGACATCCGAAACTCCTTTTTTCATTTTTTGAGACAGAGTCTCTTAAATTGCTAAGTTGCCTTGGTGGGGCTCAAACTTACGATCCTCCTGACTTAGCCTCCCAGAGGGCTGAGATTGTAGCATACGCCATCATGCCCGCAGACCAGATAATTTAAGAGACTAAAGAAATACACCAAAATGTAAAACTTGGGGGAAAAAAATAAAGCTAAAAATCCTGATCCCCAACAAAGCTCGCGAGATGACCTAGCCCCAGACAGGCGTCGCCCAGCAGAGCCGCGTTGATCGCCGACCCGGGGGCTCCTTCGGGAAGAGCCGACATCACCTGGGCGGCTAGGGTCCCGGTGCCTGGGGAGGACCTGGAACCGTGGGGAGTCGCTGTCACTATTAATCAAACTCTGCCGCTCGGGTTTAGAGCTTCCTCCTTCAGATTCGTGCGCGAGACACCGGGGAAGCCCTGGAAACCCAGGCTGCAGGTGCCCAGGTGGCTGCCAGCCGCTGTCGCTGTGTGGGTGACCTGAGTCCTCCTCCACCGCATCCCTCAGCGAAGGCGGCCGGGGCGTCTACCCTGGAGTCACCCTCGCAGCGCCGCCGAGGCCCCGCCCAGCCTGGACGAAGGAAGGCAGAGAGCGCAAGACGCCCGCCAGGCGACCAATCAGAGCAGGGAAGGACATCAGCCTCCCCTCCCAGTGGCCACTCCGGCAGAACGCACGGCCTCTGTGGCTGGTGGAACCTCCTGCCAATCAGGGCAGAGCCGGAGAGGCCTGGGCCAATAGCAGGAGGCGGCCGGGTCAGGCCGGCTGCACGGCGGGGGTAGACGCGCGGGTCCGCGCTGAGAGAGCCACCGCCCTCCGGCTGCGCGCTGGCTCCCGGCCCCTCTCTCCCGCCCGCTCGCGGCCGGCCGAAGCCGCACCCACCGCCCAGAGCCAGAGGGATGGTGGTAGTCACGGGGCGGGAGCCAGACAGCCGTCGCCAGGACGGTGCCATGTCTAGCTCCGACGCCGAGGACGACTTTCTGGAACCGGCGACCCCGACAGCCACGCAGGCGGGGGACGCGCTGCCGCTGCTGCCCCAGCAGGTACCCGGATGCGGGCGGGGGCGGGGGCTGCGCCCACGGGCCCCCGTTGGGTGTTCGCGGACCGCAGGGCTGGCTCGCCGCCACAGTGTGCCCCAGCCCTGCAGCCAAAGACGGGAGGTGGGGGCACCGGACCCCCAGGAGAGGAGACCAGAGGGAGGCCTTGGGGGGTTTGGCTTAGGGTGGGGCGTTAGCCTAGCATGCACCGGGTCCTGCGTGCATCCCCAGTGCTGTACTGAGAGAGAGTGTGTATGTCAGGGTAACTCTGTAAATACATCAGTAGATATATAAAAGGGTATATGTGCATGTATCTGGTAGATAACAGAATATGTCAAAAGGAGGCCTTTGCTGGGTGTAGCTCTGTGGTGGGGTGCTAGCCAGGCAGGCTCAACGGGCCCTGGGTCCGATCCCCAGAACTGCAAAAGAAGAAATACTCAAAACAAAAGGAGGCGTGGACTGCCCAAACCCCACTTTCCGGTCACCTGGGATGGTGACAGAGAGCAGGCTCATTAGTGGATGTGACAACCCCGCGGCTTTGCACTAGCCAGCTGCGCTGCACGGTGGCTTCCTTAGACTCATTTCATGTGTGTGGCACCGTCTTATTACTGCCTGGAGTGACCCTCAGGAGAAAAGAGGACAGTGGACACTTGAGTCGGAGGAGACCAGGAGGCGCACGCCACGCATAGAGAAGGAACAGAGCCCCCGCGGTGGGGGGCTGTGCAGAGCTCTGAAGTTAGACGCCCCAAACTCCCAGCGTCATGGGAAGCTTGTGAAAATGGGCAAAATTTCCCAGTTCTGCAGTTGGGAAAAACAGCCAATAGAGACACAGTGGTGCTATTTTTTGTGCCTTGTCATTGGGCAAAAGATGTGGTTTGCGGAAAAGGCACAAGCCCCGAAGGGTGTGGGCCAGGCCTCCGGTTCCAGCTGCCCCGCGGATCGCATTGCTCCTGTGAGCCCTAAAACTCCGCTGTCACATTCAAGCCTGCTCTGCTTCAATCTTGTCATTCGCTAACATGGAGCACTCCCGTGGACTGGTGTGAAATCTCCCTGGAAGGGTTGAAAGAGCTCCAGAAATGAGGAGTAGTATTATTCTGAAACAGCTTTTGGATCCTTGGTGTGTACGGGGAACGGGGAGTGAGCTCAGACGTCAGCTCTGGGTGCAAGGCGACCATCCACACACGCAGGAATCCCACGCCTGTCTGCTTCATTCATTCATTCTGGGAATGTTAGTCTTTACTGTGAACTGGGCCCTGGCTGAGTCTGATTGCTGTATTTGTAGCCTGCTTTATTTTACAAGGAACATTAGGACCGGGGCTGCCTGGATAAATACACGCAGACTTTCCCTGGAGCCAGAGAGATGTAACCTTGAAAGGATGCCCTGGGATGAAGAAATTAGGGGATGTGGAAGAAGTTTGTGGGAAAGTTACAGAACTGGACTCATTTCTTTCAGATACAGTTTGCTATAAACCACGAGGAGAAAAAGACATTAAACAGAGAGAAAAAGCGTGAGCATTGTAGGGGCACCTGGAGCTTCCTGGCGCAGATCTTCCCGCGTTTTCCCGTCCTCCTCCAGCCCTTGCCCCCAGAGCCTTAGCTGGTCTCACTGTGCAGATCAAGTGGGAGAAGAACGGGTGGGGGTAGCCAGTGAGGACTGGAGGCCTGACCCTCGGCATCCGCAGGCCGCCCTTCCGGGCTCCCCCTGCCCTCAGGAAGCCTGGGGAGTGAGACCGGCTGGCAGGAGACACTGCGCGGGGTGCTGTAGTGGAGGGGAGTGCGGTATGTGTGAGGGTCGGGAGCAGCGGGGTTGTGCTTAAGGCAGGGAGGGGACCTTGGAGCCGAATGCTCATGGGGGAGGGGACCTTGGATAGGAATTTCTCCAGCCATTGTGTGCTGCTCTGCCAAAAGGGCCACACAGCTGGGCCAACACGTCACTGGCCGCCTGCACCACACAGGGCAGTCTCGTCTGCCAGATGGATGGAGGGAGAGTGTAAGAGCATTTGGGGCAAAGAAGAGCGCGAACAGGGCCTGAATGCTGATGAGTTCGGGAAGCAGAGTTAGGGTGGGGCGGTCCGACCCCAGAGCTGTCGTAGAAGCGCGCAGGATGCGGCCGTCCAGGCATGGGGAGGGCCAGGAAATAAAGCGTTTAGAGGGCTCTTGGCCCTGCTCCCGCGCCTCCCTCCGGCCTCAGCGCCCCTGGTTCCCTTCCAGTTTCCCGAGGTTGTCCCCCTCAACATCGGCGGCGCTCACTTCACCACACGCCTGTCCACGCTGCGGCGCTACGAGGACACCATGCTGGCGGCCATGTTCAGCGGGCGACATTACATCCCCACCGACGCCGAGGGCCGCTACTTCATCGACCGGGACGGCACGCACTTCGGGTATGTGGCTTCCCTGCAGTCAGTGCCACTCAGGGTCCTGGTCCTGGCAGGTGGGTAGCCCGGGCTTGGGTCTGAGGCTTTGGCATGGTCCATAGTATCTACGGTAGCAAGGACAGAACATAAGGGTGAAATTCAGTAAATGTTCTCTAGTAACATGTGGTGATAGGGGTGGTGAAATTTCTGTCCTGTGCAAGCCAGCACCTGGAAAGTAGCCATACACTCGCAGAGGTGCAGGTGTGATCACCCTGGAGGTAGGGGTGTCTGAAACGACTTCCTGGAGAAGACCTTGTGTGCTGTCCATGCAGAGGACAGCAGTGAGCCTGGTGGGCAGCAGTGATTTCCACACTTCCATAGTTGAAAACAAAACAGCTGCTGTGGTCGTGCACACCTGTAATCCCAGCATTCTGGGTGGCTGAGGCAGGAGGATCCCAAGTAACATCCCAAATAACAAGAAATGAAAAAGGCTGGGGTTGTAGTTTAGTGATAGAACACTCTGGGGCTTGATCCCCAGTACTGCAAAAACAAACAGTAAATAAAACCAAAAGAAAGGTGAAGGAAATGCTAGCGTAGGATTACTGTATCTTTATTTTGACAAGAGAAGTCTTAAGAGCAGCATAAAGAACTTTCTGTTCTTACAATAATTTAGACACTAAAACATAAAAATGCAACCTCAAAAAAATAGCCTTTTCCAGTTAGAGACTTCTTGTTTTTTTTTTGAGACAGGGTCTCACTATGCAGTTCAGGCTGGCCTTGAGCTCGCTTTGTAGCCCAGACTGGTCTCGAACTCGCAAGGATCCTCCTGCCTCAGCCTCCTGAGTGCTGGGATTACAGGAGTGCACCACCACACCTGCCTCAGTTAGAGACTTCTGACAACCTTATACATAAACAGGTTAAAGACTTTGTGTCTCAGTTTCCCTTTTTGTGATGTGAGAAATCCTTCCAGCTGCCTCGCAGCCTCAGTGAGGATCAGAGAACTCGGAGTGAGCCCTGATCAGGCATGTTTCCAAGTGTGTGGCTGAATTTGCGCTCTTTCAGGCTGACCTTGGAGAGCGGAGCTAGCTCTGCACCTCGAGCCAGCTGCCGAGGATGCAGGAGCTCTCTGTCCCCTTCTGTCTGCTGATCCCCTAGCAGGATTGCGCACAGGGTCATTTTTGTCCTCTGGCCAGATCATTGCTTTGAAGCATCTGGCTTTCCCTAGTGGGCCATCAGCTCCTCAGATGCTGAGAACACAGTGTCACTGCGCTCTGGAACTGGAAATGATTTTGTTTACAGGCCATTTGGGGGAGGAGAGCGCTGGCCCCAGCTGGCAGCTCGCATAGCACCCTGAGCAGGGCCTTGCCTCAGGGTTTTGTTTTTCAGAGCCCAGAAAGATGTGCGGAGGGCCCCAGAGGACTCATTTCAGAAGGGGCTGTGGGGAGACGGAGCAGGGCGGGACAGAGGACTGATGGGCCAGGCCTGACGGGTCATGCCAGCTGTGACGAGCTGGGCAGGGCTGTGGCAGCAGTCAGGGCACGGTGGCTGCCAGGCCTGCTGCACTGCTGGACTCCAGTGGCCAAGGTTCAGCAGCAGCGCATGCAGTTGGTGGGGACTCACGCAGGAATCCAGGGCCCTTGGCGCGGTACGTTTGCCTCTGTCGCGGCTTGTGTACCCCAGCGCCCACCCTGTGGGCCTCCGTGTGCGATGGTCCCTGGTGGTCAGGACTTCTGCTGAAGTCTGGACCTCTGTGCCCCGGGCTCCGAGTCCTCCGTGTCTGGATCCGAGTCTCCGCAGCGGGGGCTGCCTCGGCGATGGCGTTCCTGAGCCTCATGGGTCCCCATTTACACTGAGGACGTAGGAGAGCACCCACCCCAGGTGTCATTAGGAGGATCCACAGACTGATACCACTGCTGAGACAGATTAATACTCGGGGCCAGCCCGGGCTGTGTTAGGGCCACCGACTGATTATGGAGTAACAGCTTGACCGCAGGATTTACCCACCACTTCCAGCTAGGGATCTGATAACTCACTGACTAGACAATCTGACAAGAGAACCAGGCGAAATGTGCTTTTATTGGAAGAACATATGCCATATGATAAGAAAAATTAGAGTGAATATACAAAAAACTTTATTTGTAAAATTTTTTTACATTTTATTTTTTTATTTCTTTAGTTTTTTTTTTTTTTGGTACCTGAATTGAACTCAGGACCTTGCGCTTGCAAGGCAGGCACTTGTGCCACTGAGCTAGACCCCTGCATATTTTTTTTTTAAAGAGAATAAAAATAATATAAAAAAATAAAAATGATACAGAATTTCAAAACAAGATGATAGGAAATTAACAGTGGTTGTTAAATTGCATATCATTGTCTTCAAAGTAGTTGTTCAGATTACCAGATAATAGGCAGGCAAAACTGATCAAACAATTAAGCATTACCTGTTCCTTTCAGTAAACCAATAGAAATTAGTAGTACAGTTATCTTAGCTATCTTTGTGTGTGTGTGTGTGTGTGTGTGTGTGTGTATATATGTATTTTTTTTCCTTCTTTTTTTTCTCCTTTCCCCCATACTGGTGGTTCTTTCCTTTTGAGCAATTTCTTTCCCCTTCACAATATCTATTGTACCTTATAAAACTTTAAATTTAGTATAATAAAAGACACATTGCTATTAATCCCCCTGGCTTCAAACCCACTTATCTCATCATTTATGCCACTTTCTGAAGCAGGTCTGGATATCTTCTTTTGTGTCTTAATTTGTACTGCCATGGCTGCCTCAGTGTCCAGAATTGATTCAAAACTTTTCCTTTCATGGTCATTTTGACTTTGGGGAGAGCCAGAAGTCACATGGTACCAGATCCATCAACTAGGGAGGAGAAGGACACACCATCATGTTTTTATTTGGCAGAAATTACAATTCGACCAGCAAAAGGATGATCAAAACATACGGTGAATGTTTAAATTGAACATTTTTGACAATAAGAAACACACTGAAGTACTGAAACACAGTTGGTCCGCAGGTTGTGGGTTACTGTTATCGATGGATGAAACACTGAAACACTCTCCCTGGCTTTGGACCCTTAATCCTTCTTGGCAATGTGTCTTTTATTGTAATACGTTTTTAATTTAAACATGAGCTTTGTATGTGATTCTTTTCAGTCCTAGAACCAGGTGGTTCAGGCATTAGAATTAGACATTTTATCTTCCCCACGTAAGTACAGAGTAATACTAAGAGCAAGAACATGGAACAGCTAGGACTCTGGTACATTATGGGCGGGAATATAAAACGCCGCAGCTGCTTTGTTAAACTTGCATTTCTTCTGGGATGTCTGGTCCTAACATGTCCCCGAGAATGGGGGCTTGGATCCACCAAAGGTCTTCACAGGACAGTTCCGCACAGCTTTAGCTGTAGTAGCCGGAAGACAGAAACAACCCAAATGTCCATCGAGAGAATGGGTAAATGTAATATATCCGTAATGTGGTATACTGCTTAGATGATGAATAGTAACAACAAACAAACTACTGGCACATACAAAAACTTATATTGAGGGAAAGAGCCAGCTACCCAAGGAACATAGTTACGATTATATGATTTTCAGGAAAATGCAGACCTAATCTTCATTGCTAGAAGACAGCAAAGTGATTGCCTCTGTAGGGGCCGGCTGGGAGGGGCACCAGGCAAGCCTAAGGAGTTGGAAATGTTCGCTGTCTTGCTCCAGGTGGTGGAGGGGGCTGAGTATATTTCTGCTTTCCACAGTAATTGAACTGTATAGTTACGGTTTGTACATTTGGGCTGGGGATGTAGCTCAGTGGTAGAACACCTGCCTAGCACACAGCAGGCCCTGGATTTAATCCCCAGCACAACAACAAGGGAAAAAAAGGCTGGGCATGGTGGCATACACCTATAATCCCAACATTCTGGGAGGCTGAGGCAAGAGAATGTAAGTTTGACCTCGCCTCAGTAATTCAGTGAGGCCTTATCTCTAAAAAAACAAAAAAGGGAGACTGGAGATATAGCTTATTGTGAAGGCACTCAGCCAATCCCACCACCACTACCAAAAAAAAAAAAAAAGATTTGCAGATTTATTGAATGGTAATTATACTTTTTATTTGTTTGTTTTGGTACCAGGAATCGAACTCAGGACCTTGCACTTGCCAGGCAGGCGCTTGTGCCGCTGAGCTATATCCCCTGCCCCTATACTTTTTAATTATAGCTTTTTTAATATACATACTGGGGGTTGAACCAAGGCCTTCACACTGAGCTATATCCCTAGCTCATTTATTCATTTTATTGTTTGTTTTGCTTTGTCGTTTTATTCAGACATGTAGTTCAAGCTGGCCTTGAAGTCACTACGTAGCCCAGCCTGGCCTCAAACTCTAGGTGATCCTCCCACCTCAGCCTCCTGAGTGGTGGGATTACAGATGTGCACTACCATACCCAGCATCATTTTAAATTTTTAGATAAGGTCTTGCTAAATTGCCCAGGCCAGGCTTGAACTTTTGATCTTCCTACCTCAGTCTCCCAGAATGCTAGGATTACAGGTGTTCACCACCACACCCAGGTAATTATAACTTTTTAAATGACAGCTTCTAATGTTAAAACTATGTGTATGTATATTAAGGAGTTAGATGTCATATCTTTCCATTATACTTATGTGTAGCTAATATACCTAAAATAATGATATATTTTTCTATATTCATTTAGTCCCCTCCTACTACCATAAGGTAGTTGTATTATCATTTCTTATTTTGCAGATGAGGAAACCAGGGTGCAGAGAGGCCGGGCTCATTTACCCAGGGCCACACAGCTGGCACTCAGGTCGCAGATTCCGTTTTCAGAGCCCGTGTGGTGCCCGCCCAGGCCCGAGTCCCTTGTCACATGTCCTCTCTCCTCCCACAGAGATGTGCTGAACTTCTTGCGCTCAGGGGACCTGCCGCCCCGGGAGCGGGTGCAAGCGGTGCACAAGGAGGCCCAGTACTATGCCATCGGGCCCCTGCTGGAGCAGCTGGAGAACATGCAGCCGCTGAAGGGCGAGAAGGTGCGCCAGGCGTTCCTGGGGCTCATGCCCTATTACAGAGGTGAGTGTCCCGCCCAGGACAGGTGGGTGGACGGACAGTGGGGTGGGGAGAAGGTAGCAAGGGCTGTGTCAGTGCCAGGGTCTCCCCTGGAACGGGGTGTTGGGGTCCTCCACGCTCCTCAGATGATGGGAGAGGCACTGGGAAGTTCCGGTCAGGGCAGGCCCGCCTTACAGTGCTGGTCAACAGGCTGGGTTTCCAAAGGACAGTCCTTACCTGCTGTGGAGAAAGGTGGAAGGTCCAGGAGTCCCCTCCCCGTGCAGCCAGTCTCCTCCCCTGCACCTCTGTCCCTGGCTCCCTAGGTGGCCCCCACGCCCTCCCACCCCACCCCCACTGAGGGGCGCTGTGTCCACACCCTAGACCACCTGGAGCGGATCGTGGAGATCGCGCGGCTGCGCGCAGTCCAGCGGAAGGCTCGCTTTGCCAAGCTCAAGGTCTGTGTCTTCAAGGAAGAGATGCCCATCACCCCCTACGAGTGCCCCCTCCTCAACTCCCTGCGCTTTGAGCGGAGCGAGAGTGACGGGCAGCTCTTCGAGCACCACTGCGAGGTGGATGTGTCTTTTGGGCCCTGGGAGGCTGTGGCTGATATTTATGACCTGTTGCACTGTCTGGTCACGGACCTCTCGGCCCAGGGCCTCACTGTGGACCACCAGTGCATCGGGGTGTGTGACAAGCACCTCGTCAACCACTACTACTGCAAGCGCCCTATCTATGAGTTCAAGATCACATGGTGGTGAGTAGCCCTCTAGGCAGAGCGTCCTGACGGGAAGGTGTCCTGCCTCTGTGGCGGCTCTGGGATAAGATCCGCAGAGGGGCTGCGAGTCCTGAGCGGCAGCTCTGAGGGGACGGAGGTGTGGCTCCGCTCTCCCTGGCTGAACCTCTGGGTCAGTCTTGGGACTGGTGGCCTTAGGGACTGAGTCTGCTCTCACCCGGCCTCTCCCCAAGGCGTGGCAGTCTTCGCTTAAGGCGATGGGGTCCAGTGAGGGTGTCGCGGGAAGTCCAGAGAAGTTTCCTCACCTTCTTGACCTTGAAGGAGAGATCTGCCCGTGTAGAAGCATGTTACTGAGGTGGCATGGCCCCTTGCCCTGCCCCGTCCTGGCATCCGCCCTGTGCTCAGCCAGTCAGTGTGGACGTGGCAGCTGTGGAGGATGGGTCCCAGTGGCCACCCTGCAGCCCCCAGCTGAAGAAAGGTGGGTCCCCTTCCTGGGCATCCCTTGTCCCTCAAGAACAGTGCCACACCTTGTCTTCTGCAAGTCCTTCCCCACCTTGTAGAGATCTAACTGTAGTCGTGCATCAGGTTGGCCGCAGAAAACCACAGTGCTCACAGCCCTGTCCTGGGCCTCAGGAGGGGTCATCTCCCACAGGGCTGGAAGACAAAGGGTCCTTCCAGAGATTCCCCAGTTCAAGCAGGCAAGACGCCGCAGCCTTCTGTTATTTTGAAGTCACATCATGTTTAGAGGCTCAGACCACCACTGGCTGCCGTGTGGTACGATAGGATCCAGTTTATGGTGCACCTTTCAAAGGGACTCTGCACGCTTGCTCCGTGTGCCGCTGTCCTGCGTGGAGGGTTTCTGTTCTGAGGAAGTCAAGGAAGAGCCAGGAGTCATAGGAAGACAGCAGCAAGCCTCCATTGTGTTTTACTTCCCACATGTCAGAAAAACACCAAAAGCGTCTCTTCCCACTGCATTTCCTTCTTGCTCTATCTGCAGCCTGGACCGCTGCTCAGGATGTGGACAAGTACTGCGTGTGCCGCATCCCTGGTCAGAACAGAACATTTCCACGCTGCAGTGAGGGTTTCCTCTGTGACCACGGCCATGCTGGACTATTCCTGGGTGGTTCTGAAGGGAGGTGTTTGTATCTCTAAAGAGTGGGAGAGCCAGGCGCAGCGGCATGTCCAGTTCTCCCAGCTGAGGGAAGCTAAGGCAGGGGGAGCACGTGAGCCTGCAGGTTCACGGCCAGCTCGGGCACCATGGGGAGAGATGAGAACAGCATCACTGACGTCAGTGTGACAGGGCAGGTGGGTAAGGGCGCCCAGGGGCTGAGCACAGGTGTGTCCGCCTGAGGGAGAGAGGCCAGCACCCCAGGACCACCTGGATCCCTCCCTGGCTGGAGGGTAGTGGGCCCCTGGCCTCTGTGGATCGGCATCCTGTCCCCCCTGGTGGAACAGAGGTGGGCACTGAGGTCCAAGAGGAAAGGACCATCGTTCCCCTTCCCAGCTGTGCGCCCTCCCTTGTTCTGGACGTCCCTGCTCGGTGCTTTCCTCGACAGGACTCCTGCCCTGTTCTCACAGAAGAATTTTTCATTCAGGTTGCTTTTGTTGGCAGTGCCCGCTGCCTCGTATATGTTCATTTTCTTCTCTTTTCTGGGGTGGGTAAGACAAGGTCTCTCTGTGTAGCCTAAGAGGCCCTTGAACTCACCATGTAGCCCAGGCTGGCCTTGAACTCAGCACAGTCCCCCTGCTGCAGCCTCCCGAGCGCTGGGATTACAAGTGTGTGTCACCATGCCCAGCATTTCTCTGTTTTGGGGTGGGGGTTGCGTGTTCATTTTCTGACCACAGACCATCTCTTGGGGTGGAAGTCCGCAGTCTCTAGCAGACAGCTGATCCCGGCGCTTTCCGTCTGGCCTCAGCCTGCCCCTTCCCTTCCCTGCCCACGGTGGCCATGGTGCAGAATGGCACCTGGCCAGTTAGAGGCCATGTGCGCACAGAGCTGGCTGGCATACGTGCAGCTTTGCTCAGAGCACAGGCCCTGAAGGCTCGCCCCAAGGCGTCCTAGGTGCTGAGTAAGGACACTGGCCCTGTGCTCCTTGCTGGAGATTCCCTGTCTGTCCCTGTGTCATCTCACTGTGGCCTGTGAGGAGGGCGGGAACACTGACAGCCAGCTTAAGAGCACGCAGCCCTCCTCCCTTCCCAGCCCCCGCCCTCCCTTTCTCCCCCGCCTCCCGGCTCCTCCTGCTCCTTTCTTGTTTTGAGACAGTATCTCACCGGTGGCAGCCAGGCGGGTTTCAAGCTCCAGGGCTCAGCCTGGCCTCGCTCCCCGGCCTCCTGATGCTGCGGCGTAGACACTGTTGCTGCGCCGCGTGTCCTTTTCGTCGTTAGTTCTCTGCGTTCTTCCTTTGCTCTTTGTCCTCACAGTTGCGCGTATTGGAGCAGAACACGTACTGAATCCCCTTGTCAAAGTGTGTGTTTTTTATAGAGAAAGAACACCCCCCTTTTAACCCGTGCTTCCTCTACTTTTCTGCGGCAACAGGAACTTTTCTTTATACTGAAAAATATATTTATGACGAGTCTTCCTTTGACTAGTGGAACGGAAATACGAAGTGACGCCAGCCCCTACCCACGTTTACTCTCTAACCCTGCCTGCCCTCCTCGGGCTGTTGCCGCGCAGCGTAACAGTTCAGCGGCCTCCTCCGGCTCCTCCGATGAGAAGCCAGCAGGCTGAAATGTGCTGTTCAATGAGGTCGCTGTGATGGCTCCAAATAAAGTGATCATCTTTGCGGGAGTCTGTGTGATCCCTTCCATCCCTGGAGCCGGCCTGGGCATGGGAACAGACTGGAGTCCTCCGCTTTGAGGCAGGCGTGGTCAGCGAGGCCAAGCGGTGCGCCCGCCCTGGAGCCTCCCTTGAGTTTGGCTTTGGGCACGTTTTCCCCCGGAGTGATTCTCACTGGCTGGGAAGGGGAAAACCCGGGGGCCGCACTGACGTGCGCCATCCTGGGGGCAGGGTTCTGCCAGTAGCTTTCTAACTAGAAGAAAAGTGTCTTTACCACCCGCAGCGAGCACGGCGGCCCAGACCTTCCAGCCATGGAAAGTCGCCACTTCCTGTCCATCCTTCCTGAGGCTCGTGCCTGGGCCTGGTCAGATGACGGCTCTCTGTACTGAGCGCTCAGCCGCTGACCAGGGAGCAGACACAGAGAGAGGAGCCGTACACAGAGAGGTGCACATCCGTGGGCCGTGCCGGGCCAAGCTGCGGCCCAGGGGGTTAAGACAAACAGCAACAACAAAACCCACTCCCTGGAGCATTCGGATCCCAGGAAGAATTTCAGACACGGTGCCCCTTCGAGCTTCCTGTCTGTGCTGTAACGTAACTGATTATGCCTTTCAGGGGACTGCTTCGGGAGCCCTTGGGTGAAGGTAGAGCTTGTCTCGAGGTGCTGAAAAGAGGGGCATTTTTTTTGAGTGTTGGGAACTGGGGTGGGCAAGGCATGTTTTAGAATCCCAGAAGAAACAACATGGCAGTGTGGGCAGACGGGGAGGAGGAGGTGGGCTGAGGACTGAGCAGAGAAATCGGCCTGAGTGCGGCGAGTTCCTGGGTCCGTCATCTCCCCTAGACGGTTCCGGTTACGTACGCGCAGGACACTTCCGCGTGTGTTCACACGGGGGTCTGGGAGCACTGCTGTGCACGGAGCCTCAGCACCCTCAAATGGCATTACGGTCGAGAACTAGAACCCGGGTGCTGCGCCCTTCTTTCTCAGACTTGTTCCCGCCCCTTCTCCCCGAATGCCCTGCCAGCAGGACGTCTCGGTTTCTGCTTTGCACTTGATGTGTTTGGGGCTGCGACCCTGAGACCGGCTCTGCCCTGCGGCCAGTGCTGGATTTCTGCCCTGACTCGAGGTTGAGGGCAGGGGGCCTGCGATGGCCCTTCGGGAGGTAGTACTCTGTCCCTGTCACTGAGGGGGCACACAGCTCTGTCCTTCTTTGCAGAAGAGACCACAACTGAACAGTCCCAGCAGGTCGCTCTGAGAGCACCCCTCCTGTCCGAGCACATCTTTGTCAAAGGGGAAGTCTGTGCTGTAAGTGCACGTGGGCCTGGTGGTTAAGGCCAGGACGTCCTTGAGAAAGATGACACCATTCACCCGTCGGTGAGAACAGTTCGACACCTTTGTGGCTAATTACGGGCACCCTCCTCAGGCTGCCCCGAGTCACTTCCTGGCTGAGCCCACACAAGTGAGTTCTGAGTGTGGGCGAGCTTCTCTGCCCTCCTGTTGCTTTCCTTGCATCTCTGGTGATTCTTTTAATAAAAACACAGCATCGTTCTTGCCACATGTTCCCCCGACCTCATTACGGAGCTCACAGCCACCTCGTGATAATACACTGTAATATCTTCCAGGTTGGAAAAAAGCTCATAGCAGCATCGTTTCCCCAGAGATGCAGCCAGTCAGAGCCAGATTCGAGCCCACAGTCCCTGTCTGAAATCCTCACCGTGTTCAGAAGGAGTCCACTCTCGGCAGCTCAGTGTCCTGCCTGGGGGCTCAGGGCTTTACTCTGCCTAACCTGTAAAGGTTTGTAAAGCAGACGTTTCCAGAAGGAAAATTGAAATAGTTTCCCTGAAGTGAGCACAGTGGTATGTGTCTGTAGTCTTAGCTACTCAGGAGGCTGAGGCAGGAGGATCACAAACCAAACCAAACCTTCCTTAGACAAATAGGTTTTGAGTAGCCCTGAGCATTAAAGAGATAGATGGGGTGTTCCCCAGTTTATATCCCTTGGTAGGGAGGGACACCTGCTACTGGTGGACAATGGCCCTGAGCAGGTAAGCAGTGGCTCCCCTGCCTGCTGCTCTGGGAGCCCGGAGTCATTCAGACCCCTGCAGCCCGACAGCCTGACTGCAGTTGTGAGGGTCTGCACTTGGGAGCCTGAGGCCAGAGGATCCTTGCGCGTTTGAGACCAGCTTGGGCTACAAAATGATCTCAAGGCCAGCCTGAACTGCATATCAAGACCCTGTCTCAAAAACACAAAAAAAACAAAACAAAAAAACCCCAATGTATTCTGATTTGGGGCCTCCTGCCACCCCACGTGCCTTCACATTTCACCCACTCAAAGTAGGAAAGGACACAGAGACTTCACGGGACCTTACCAATCCATACCATCTCTGGGCAATCCCCCCTACATTTCTGTTGCTTATGCACAGGAAAGGGACCACACAGTCATTTGAGTAATCCCTATCTTTAATATAAAAGACTTGCTGTGTTCGAAGTGGCCTAATAAGGAGTTGGCTAGGACAATACAAACAACATAGGAATAACACAGGGAGCAGCCAGTACTCCTGGAGTTGGGATAGAGGCCCCAGGAGAACTCGTCCCCATATCCCTCCGTGGCTCACAGAATGGCAGTCGTCACCGGGGTGCTTGCTTGGGTGTCCACTCGAACACCCAAGGGGATGCTGGGAAAGCTGCTGGCCTCTGTGCTGTCGAAGTCAAGCACTGCAGAAACTGGCCACCAGGCAAGCCGCACACACCAGAACCTCTAAGGAAAACGCCCTCCCTCCACCCGTGTCTCACCGACGCCCTCTACTGACAAAGCTGGATATCACATGCACTGGCAGCAACAAGAATAACATTGAAAGGCCTCACCTTAGTCCACGCTGAGCAGGGAATGCCAGGTGAACTGGAGCTGAGAAGCAATCAGCTGATGACTGGCATCTGCGTACTTTTCCCTCCGTCTCGAATTCTGCCCGATCACCTGTAAAAGTTGGCTACTCAAATTCACTTAGTCATTTCAGATTTACAACATCCCTCATGGAAATGACTTCCCCTCCCCACCTGTCTTAGTCACTTCCTCATTGCCGAAACATGACACTCAACACCTGCCCCTTCCAGGAGAGGTTCTTTGTGGTTCACTGTTTCAGCAATAGTTGGCTGACTCCAAGGCAGAAATGGCGTGGTGGAAGGGTCATGTATATACTGTACATGTCACTTTTGTTTTTTTGAGACAGGGACTCACTATAGTTCAGGCTGGCCTTCAACTCATGGCGATCCTCCTGCCTCAGCCTCCCCAGTGCTGGTATTACAGCCATGCGCCACCATGCCTGGCTAAACTGTGTGAACTAGTAATGTAGTGAGGTCATGTTTCCTTACAGAAAAGCTAGGTAAAACCCAAAACACATCCTCTACTAGTTTTACAAACATGTACATTCTTTTTCTGGCCAATAGGGATCCCCATTTTCACTGGTAGAAATTAGTTATGGCTGTGAGTTTAGCACAGACCCCTAGCTGTTCGTGGTTTCTTAAAGTTGTTGCATCTTGCAAAAGTAAAACGGTAATACAATTTTTCTGGGGGCCAAGTGAAAAAGGGGAAGGTCAGTTTTAACTTTTTTTCTCTTTAGTTTACATGTTAATAGTTGGATGCTAATTTTGGACAAATTGAAATACCTTATCATACAGCAAGCAGAGAAGCAATTCTCTTCCTCTGTCTGCTGCTGTGACTGCATTATCACAAACCAGGGACGTTGTGTCAAGATTTTTTTCCACATAATTCCTGCTAGAAATAATGACTCAAAATTATATAAAGTTAAATTCCTGTCTTAGCACACATTACTAAGATGTGAAGTGTGGGACAGTTTTGTTTTGTTTTTTGGTGTTTTTTTTTTTTTTTGTCTTTTTGAGGCAGGGTCTCACTATGCAGTTCAGGATGGCCTTGAG